TTAAAGATTTTATTTATTAAAGAGAGAGCACACCTGCATGTGAGCAGAAGGGAGGAGGGAGACAGACAGGCGGACACTGCACTGAGTGCAGAGCGCAACACGGGGCTCCATTCCACAACCCCGAGATCACAACCCCGAGATCACAACCTGAGCCAAACCAAGAGTCAGACGCCCAACTGACTGAGCCACCCAGGAGCCCCTCCCTGAGTGAGTTTTAAAAGCAGAAAACAGAAGTCACTTTCAGTTAGACTCTTCTGTCTTTTGCAAACATCTAAGTTACCTACAGAAAGGATGCCAGGGTCCCTAGGGGGAGGAAAAGATGAATGCTTTTAAGAGCAAAGAGAAAAAGAGGCAAACCCAGAGTCTGGGAGGGAGATAAATGTTGGTGGGTCCCAGGGTTAAGAGAGATTTACATTCGGCTTTTCACTCCTTCAGAATGGAAAGGCCAGACCCCAAGTACAGATGGCCCACGTGTTCCCACCTACTCCCATGCCAAGCATGGCACAGCTGCATACCATGAGCAGCATCCAGAGGGGCCAAGACTCCAGGTCATTGGCACAACACTGAGTGGTAAAGGAGCTTCCAGCTGGATTTAAGCTGATACAAAGAAAATTAGGGAATGTCACATTTTTTGCACAACCCTGTTGGTGCTCTAAGATTCATGTGTGCACCTCCTATGGGGGATGACTGATGCATACGTACAGCCCACACTGATTATAGGGGCTGGAATTTGTGCTAACTCATCCTGAGCTCATGGTCATGACTGCGTTGTAGAACTTGTATAAAGAGATGAGTATAAACTCTTGGAAAACATGGCTGATGAGCGAATACCGAGGGTGTGTGGTAAGTCAAAGTTTAAAAGAGTACTTTAGAATGTTTTAAAATCCCTGGCCAGATCAGCTCCTCTTTCAGGATTAACAAAATACAGATCACTCCTTTGTTACTATTACCTTGACTTTGTGGAAGTGAATTCAAAGCAGGACAGTATCAACTAACAAAAAATAAATAAAAGGACTGTTTCCAATATTGTACAACTTGTATAAATTATAAACAAACCCTGGGCAGATACAGGGTGGTCAGAGAAGGATATGAAGAGAATTATAGCCTTGCTAGTTTGCTGAGATTGAAGTTCTCTGTTATTCTCAGGAAAATATCTAGAAAGATTTTAAGGTCTCTAATTTTGTTTTAATTCAAATTCTCAAAAAAAAAAAAAAAGTAAAATTCTCCCTGGAGAGGGAGAGGTATACAGCAGCCAGCAGACATGTTACCTGGGGAAGGGGCCAATGTGCTGGGACTGCGGTGGGGACAACTGTGCAAACGGACGTGAAGGTTACCAGAGACGGCAGGTGTCTTCCAACATTTCCAATAAGAAAGCCCCACCCCGAGGCGCCTGGGTGGCTCAGTTGGTTAAGCGACTGCCTTCGGCTCAGGTCATGATCCTGGAGTCCCGGGATCGAGTCCCGCGTCGGGCTCCCTGCTCAGCAGGGAGTCTGCTTCTCCCTCTGACCCTCTTCCCTCTCGTGCTCTCTCTCATTCTCTCTCTCTCAAATAAATAAATAAAATCTTTAAAAAAAAAAAAAAAGCCCCACCCCTAGAGGAGAGACATTTGAGTCTTGTCCTGGCATCCTGGAGACTGAGAAACGGAGGAAGGCTCAGCTGATATGCTTCCTGCGGTAGCATTGCTCACACCCTCCCCCCTCCTTGCCAGCCCCGCGCCACTCCAGCCAAACGCGGGGCCTGTACCTGCATCTCCTCTGCCTGAAATGCCCTCTCCAGACATTAGTATGGCCCATCCCCGTACGTCCTTTGGGTCTTTACTCAAATGGCACCTTCGCAGCCAGGCCTTCTCCATCTCAAATTACAGCCCGAACCCCAGCACTGCCTTCTGCACTTACCCCCATTTACAATAGCACATATTTTACTCATTGTGTGTCTTCTCTGTCTCTTACCTCTAGGGAATCTCCATGAGGAAAGGTACTGTGTCTTTTGTTCAATGCTGTCCTCAGCCCCTAAAAGTGTCTGACACCAAGTAGGTGTTTAATAAATACTTTACCGAAATGAAAAATGAGCATAGGGCGCCTGGGTGGCTCAGTTGGTTAAGCAACTGCCTTCGGCTCAGGTCATGATCCTGGAGTCCCGGGATCGAGTCCCGCGTCGGGCTTCCTGCTCAGCAGGGAATCTGCTTCTCCCTCTGACCCTCTTCCCTCTCGTGCTATCTCTCATTCTCTCTCTCAAATAAATAAATAAATAAAATCTTTAAAAAAAAATAAAAATAAAAATGAGCATATACATTCTTATGGAATAAATGGGTACTTCTGTTTTCACAGCAAACAGTGCTGCAGTGGCTGTGGCCAAGCAGCCGAGTATATGGCCAGGGGCCCACTGACAACCTGGGAACATGCACGTTTGGTAAAAAAAAAAAAAAAATCCAAAAAACAAAACTCACAAAGAACAAAAAACCATGTCCAACACCAGCCACAGGACTGTGAATGGGCATCTTCAATCACACTGGGGCCGGAAGGCAGCAGTGGGTCCAGGCTGGGGCAGCTTGGACTTCAGCTCAGCTCTGTCCTGCACAGGAGGGAGAAAGCAGGTGGAACATGACAGGGCACACTCTCCCCGACAGCAGGCTAAATGAGCTCAATCCACTCCACGCTTCTCCCAACAAGGGGACACGGCAAAGCAGGGACAGGAGGGTTGCTGCTTGCTCCTCTCCACAAATATCCATCCTCCTGTGGTGCACATCTCAACCACCACAACAAATTCCACGATAATAAAAGGGCTGGTAACATTCCTATCGGGGGAGAGGGAAACCACACCACACTTTTATACATGTGCCCTGATGTACAGCTCAAAGAACAAAATAGCATAGTATATGATCCCTGTTTGCATGAAGATTATTCTCTTGGTGTGGATACAAGACTGAGAAATAAACCCAGCAGCATTTTGCTAACAAAGGGTCCCGGAGAGTATGATGATTATGTTTCTTCCTGGCATCGGGCGGGCATTTGAGCTGGAAGGCAGAAATTTCTTTGCAGTCTTACTTTTCTTATTTTTATTTTTAAACCAGATTTTGTATTTAATTGTAATCTGCATTGTAAAAAAAAAAAAAGTCCAATCACTTACCAGTAAACTTACTTAGCTTTGCTTCCCACAGCTTCCAGACGAACCGATACTCCACCAAGTTGTGTCAAGAAATCCCTGGATTTGAATTCTCCCTGACACTGTGAACCCCTGGGGGTGTAAACCTAACTAGTAAATGTGGAATTTGGACATCAGGAGAAACATTATCTTATGCCAAAATGTATGACAGAGACAACTGCTGTCGCTGTTCAGGAGTCAGATGTGAAAATGATTATTCAAACTGCTGCCAGGGATAGAAGTTGTACGATACAGTTTTTTTGGTTGGTTTTTTGTTTTTTTTTTTTGTGGCCTATTTTTTTTTCAAATGAGGAAACAAGTCATTTTTAAAACAAATATATAGCTTTTTTAATATAAATGTAAGGTACATATGCAGTATGACTGGAAATAAACATCTTCAACTCTGGGCTCTTTTCGAAAGACACAAGATGATTTTTTCAAAAGATACAAGATGCATGGATAAGTCACATTCATACCTTATAATGTTAAAGAGCAAACAGTTGAAATTCATAATGAACAGTGACTGCTTTTCAGTAGCTTGAAATTCTAGTCATTCATCCCATAATTCTTATGAGTAAGAAAAGAAAAAGCTAATCATGTACCTTAATACGGTCATTTCTGGATTACTCAAAAGTATAAACCACCCTGAAGAAAAAAATAGAGTCCCATGTTTATCACAGGTATTATAAAAATACCAAGACATTTATCAGGCATAACTAATGTATCAAAATCTATATTTTAGAATAATGTTTCACAAACACAACTCCAACATTTCTCTTTGGTTCAGAAAACATAAGAGGTAGGTTCAAATAAAGTAAGTGCCTATTACATCACTGGATTTTCACTAAAATGTTGGCAATTTATAACAGAAATCACTAGAAATCAAACGTGAGTTTAGGAACTAAATTAAAAAGCTACAGAACAACAACTAAGAAATATCTAAGTCCTAATCACACAAATCAAAACAAGATGGTTGACTACAAAAATGTTTTAGTAAAATAAAAAATATGCTAACAGTATTATAAATTTTCTGTATTGTAACATGTTCCTAAAACGGGGCAAGGGAGAATATGAACGTATATGTTTATGACTTAGGCCCTTCATTTAAACATAGGTACCTACTACATAATATTAATACATACCACTATTAAAATGCACTAATCTCCTAGGTTTGTGCTGTCCAAATTGAGAACTGCAGGTTCAAACAAATTCAACAGTGTGGGGGAAATGAAAATGTCACTCACCCATGATCAACCTACTTCATGTAATTAAGAAATGTCAGATTACCAAGATTGCTCCCTAGAAGCTTTCCTGATTAAAACAGAATCTGATCCAAGTAGGAAATGAAGGACAAAGACAAGAGAAGAAGCTGATATAAGAGGGTTTTTTTCTTGGTGCTTTTCAAAACAATGACAGAATAAATAGAAACTTTCAAATAAGTTGCCTTGTGTTGATAATTTAACAGTAATATACTGACAATCGGTGTGCCATTCCAGGAGCCAAGTAACAGTGCAAGGAAAATGGAAAAAGGCCCACTGAAACAAATATTATTTCATCACTCCTCCTTATACAAAAATACAAATGGACTAGAGTATTTGCATGCCCTAGAATTCTGCCACTTAAGTTCATTCTCATTCAGCTTCAAGAAAGATAAGGGTAGAAGCCATATACTTATTTGGCTGCTGTAAGATATGTTTTCATGCAATGATTTTCCATTAATGGTTCTACAAGGAAATTTTAACAAGTCTATAAAGACATTCAAAATACATAAAACAACACAAGTTTCAAGTTTTTCTCATTTTGTTTTATAGAAAAAGACATTTAAGTATTAAGGAACTGGCGTAAACTTGAACCAACCAAAATAAAGATTAATGATTTCTAATTACCACACAAAACATATTTAATTCGAGCAATACATTTTTTCAGATTTAGGATTCAGGGCATAGATGTGTAGAAAGGTACTAATAAGAAAAGATAAAATACAATTTTTGCGGCCTTTTCAAAATTGTATGAGCTTATCAAAACTATGATTTTTGACATTTCTGTATATATAAAATTGAGCCCAAATATTTGAAGTAATCATTGACATGCTTTCTTTTTTTGTGAGAAATATAGGACTTCTTTTGCCACAGGCTTGTAATTCTAGGAGAAAAAGTCATTCCAGAGATTGTTGAAAATTTCAATAATCATGCTAAAGCAAAAAATTCAACATGTCATTTCTGGGATACTCCTAAAGTTTGCTTCATATTTTCATAAACCACATAACTGATGCCCACAGCGGGGAGCACCTTCATGAAGTTTGGAGTGATGCCTCTATAAAGTCCTGGGATTCCTTCTTTAGAAATTATTCGTCGAAAGAGGCCAACCATGTTCATCTGTTTGTTTCCTTCTATCATGGCTAGAAAAAAAAAAAAAAAGAAAAGAAACCAAGCTAATTTATTTTTTTTTTAAGATTTTATTTATTTATTTGACAGAGAAACACAGAGAGAGAGGGAACACAAGCAGGGGGAGTGGGAGAGGGAGAAGCAGGCTTCCCACGGAGCAGGGAGCCCGATGCAGGACTCAAACCCAGGACCCCGGGATCATGACCTGAGCTGAAGGCAGACGCTTAACAACTGAGCCACACAGGCACCCCAAAACCAGGCCAATTTAATATTCAAGAATGTTTTGTTATTACTACCATATACAATTATGATCCTGAATGACATTCAAGAATATAATGAAAGGATAATATTTATTCCAAGGGGCCCAAGAAAGTACCCCTTTATGTAATTCTCCCTGCGTGGCACTTGATAGCGAGTTCCATAATTATAATAACAATGATAACAACAGTTATTTGTTGAGTGATTACTATGTGTTAGATACTGGGCTAATTACTTTATCCACCAATCCTGCGAGTTAAGAATTATACCCATTTTATAAATGAGGAATTGGAAGCTTAGAGAGATGGAGAAACTTGGCCTGGTACACTTAGCCTGTAAGGGGGAGATCTGAGAGCAGACAGTCTTTCTGACTCCAAAGTTCACACACTTTCTACCACCCGGTAATGCCACCACCCCACCTCCTCATTAACTACGCACGGAAAAGAGAGTATAGTTCAATCCTGGGAATTAAGGGGAGCAGGGGGAACACTTTGGGGAACTTGGGAAAATGTAGGGTCCTGGGGCAGTGCAAATGACCTCAAGAGGCAAGAAAGGGGGAATGGGGAAGCCCGTGTTGCTGGCACAACAAAGACAGGGGCGGGAACATGCATGTGCTAGAGGACGCAGCTGACTGCCTATGTGGTCATTACACAGAGGGGCACCCAGCGGCGGGAGGCAGAGAAATAAAGTGGGGCCAGATTACTACAGGCTTTGAAATTCCCACTAAGAACTTGAGATTTTATTCTGAAGACACTGGAGAGTCACAAAGATTTCTGAACAAGCATAAAATGATCAGGCCTTGGCTTTAAAAACAACAGCTCTATGGGCCACGGGAGGACAGAAATGGAGTTGGCAGATGGGAAGGGACGGCTTGCCAGGTGATGCTGTCAATCAGACGGCCTGGGTTTGAAGTCTAGCTCCACTATTTGCCAAATGTAAAAACTTAAGGAAGTTACTTTAATCTCTTTTTTGCCCCAGTTACTCATCTGTAAAATGCAGATGATATTAGTATCAATGCCAAAGATGGCTGTGATGGATAATGAGAGAATACTTATGAAATACTTAGTTACTAACTTTGCATTTTTCTCTCCAGCCACATGATCATTCAGTGCCTCAAACAGTCCCCATTTCTCCTGCCTCAGTGCCTTCACATATATTTTTCCTCAGGCTAGAATGCTCTTTATTTTTCCACCCCACCCATCTTTGTCCAGCTAACTCCCACCTGTCTTTCCAGGTTGAGCTTAAATGACAATGTTCTCAGGCTCCCAAAGTAAGGTTAGAACTCCTTGCTCTGCGCTCCCCTAACAAAGGGGAGGTGGTTTAACAAGACTGTTTACTTGTTGACCGTTTGTCTTCTCCACTCAACAATGGCAGGGACCACATCTGACTTGTGGACCGCTCTAACCCTAGCATCTGGCAGAGTTTCCAGCACCTGACCACTGGGGCTCTGGAAGTATTCGTTAAGTAATGAGTGACGGCTTGGTTGGGGGTGGGGCGGTGGTCGGTACTTGGAAGAGAGACTGGAGATAGAGCTGTAGATACCCAAGGGGCACTATTTAAAGAAATGACAGTGGGTGAGTGAGACTGGCCAGCAAAAGAGCCAAAAAGAAAAGAAAGGCACAGGCTACATACTCTAAATAGCAATAAAAGCCAGCAAATCCTAAGAAAAGAGACTAATCGATGAGCTGGGAGAAAAGCCAGGAGGACACAGTGTAATCAAAGCCAAGGGAGGGGCACCTGGGTGGCTCAGTCTGGTAAGCCTCCGACTCTTGATTTCAGCTCTGGTCATGATCTCAGGGTCATGAGGTCAAGCCCCACATCAGGCTCCCTGCTCAGTGCAGAGTCGGCTTGGGTTTTTCTCTCTCCCTCTGCCCCTCCTCCCACTGCTGCATGCTCTCTCTCTAAAATAAATAAATAAATCTTTTTTAAAAACAAAAAACCCCACAAAACCCACCTTGAGCCTGCATGCGTGTTCTCACCAAAGCCAAGGGGTAGCTGGCCAGCTGACCACAGGTGCTGGATAAGGCACCACATCCCAGCAACACCATGACTCCAGGGTTTACAGAGTCTTTGGCATAATTATCAAGCCAGTGGGACTTCAGGAGCTGCCGGAGAAACAGAAAAGAAGAGAGACAGTGAACAACTACCTCGACAACTGCTTTCACTCAGCACGAACATTTCCTTAGCCACTCCTGTCCTTACGAGAGACGGGCCACACTGCTGCAAGATCAAGTGGCCCATTCCCAGGAGCAGAAGGCACTGTAGGAGGCGGCAGCTCTGCGGAGAGCGGGCAGGTGGGGGGGAGCCCGTGGGGACTCAGAACACATGAGGTTTGCACTGGTTGCTCATTTTCTTCTAAACAAATGTTAAGATCAACAGCACTCCCAATGCAGTATCTCAAGAATATTTCCTACGGTGAGTATTAATAAAAACAATATAATTCTGCTAATTGCATCTAATTTTGTACTTTACACATATGTTATATTTCATTTAGTCCTTTCCCTGAGGTGGAGCTATTCTTCCAATTTTAGAAATGAGGAAAATGAGTCTCAGTGGATTTTTTTTTTAACAAGGGTGCAGAATCAAGTGTACTGATCCCCAGGCTGTGCCTTTCCCCCTATTATCCTACATCCTTGTATTTCCATTAGAAGGCAATGACGGAAAATAATTGTATAAAATGCATATGCTAATCTACTTTTTAAATATATAATATTTTCAGTATAAGAATCTATGCTAATATGTGGGGGAAATTATTGTTATTGGTGGCGCAAGCATAGTAATATACTACCTAAAGCAATCTATGGATTCAATGCAGTTTCTACTCAAATCCCCATGGCAATTTTTGAAGAAAAAGAGAAAACCACCCTAAAATTCATATGGAATCTCAAGGGACCCCAGTGAGCCAAAATAATCTTATGAAAGAAGAACAAACTTGGAGGCCTCATACTACCTGATTTCAATAGATCCTACAAAGCAACAGTAATCAGACAGGGTGGTATTGCCATAAAGACAGATACACAGATCAATGGAACAAAAGACAGTCCATAAATAAACTCGAATATATGGCCAAATGATCAACAAGGATGCCAAGACTACACACTGGAGAAAGAACAGTCTGCCACAAATGGTGTGGGGAAAATTGAACATCCACATGCAAAAGGATAAAGCTGGACCCTTACCTTACACCATATACAAAAATTAACTCAAAATAGATTAAAGACCTAAACAGAAGACCTAATACTTTACAACTTCTAGGAGAAAACATAGGATAAAAGCTTCAGGGCACTGAATTCGGCAATGATTTCTTGGACATCAAAAGCACAGGCAACAAAAAGCAAAAAGAGATAAAAGAACTTCACCAACTTAAAAACTGTGCAGCAAAGGAAACAATCAGCAGGGTGAAAAGGCAATCTATGGAACGGGAGAATATATTTGCAAACCACACATCTGATAAGGGGTTAATACCCAAAATACATAAAGAACTCCGATAACAATTTAAAAAATTAAAAATGGGCAAAGGCAACAGATATATGAAAAGATGCTCATTAACAGAACATAATAAAAAAAAAAGATGCTCAACATCACTAATCATCAGGGAAATGCAAATCAAAACCATAATGAGATATATCACCTCACACCTGTTAGAATGACTAGAATCAAAGAGACAAGAAATAGGGGCTCCTGGGTGGCTCAGTTGGGTAGGCATCTGACTCTTGATTTGGCTCAAGTCATGATCTCAGGGTTGTGAGATGGAGCCCCGCATCAAGCTCCATGCTTGGCGTGGAACCTGCTTAAGATTCTCTCTCTCCTTTCCCCTCTGCCCTTCTGCCTACCCCCATGGCTCACACGAGAAGAGAAGAGAAAAGAAGAGAAAAAAGAAAAGAAAAGGAAAGGAAAGGAAAGGAAAGAGCAAGTGTTGGAGAATATGTGGCACAAAAGGAACCTTCATGCACTGTGGGTGGGAATACAAACTGGTGCAGCCGCTGTGGAAAACAGTGCAGAGGTTTCTCAAAAAATCAAAAGTGAAACTACCATACAATCCAGCAATTCCACTACTGGGTATTTACCCAAAGAAAACGAAAACACTAATTTATAGCCCTATGTTTACTCCAGCATTATTTATAATAGCTAAGATATGGAAGCAACCTAAATGTCCATGGATAAATGAATGGATAAAGAAGATATGTGGGGGGGGTGTGTGCGCGCATACACACGCGCGCGCGCGTGCACACACACACACACACACACTGGAATATTACTCAGCCATAAAAAATAAAATCTTGCCATTTGCAACAACATGAATGGACCTAGAGAGTATTATGAGGGTATTAAGTGGAATAAGTCCGAAAGAGAAAGACACGCACCATATGATTTCATTTATATGTGGAATCTTTTAAACAAAACAATGAACAAACAAACCAAAAAAAAGTAGAAACAAACTCTTAAATACAGAGAACAAACTGATAGTTGTCAGCGGGGAGAAGGAGGGAGGGGAGAGGCAAAATGGGTGAAGGGGAGTGGGAGGTACAGGCTTCCAGTTATGGAAGGAGTAAGTCACGGGCATGAAAGGCACAGCATAGAAAATACAGTCAATGGCATTGTAATTGAGTTGTATGGTGACAGATCACAGCTGCACTTGTGGTGAGCAGAGCATAACATATTGAGTTGTTGAGTCACTATGTTGTCCCCCTAAAACTAATATAACATTGTGTGTCAACTATACTTCAACAAAAAAATGGGCAAAAAATTTTGACATTTCTCCAAAAAAGATATATAAATGGACAGAAGCATATGAAAAGATGCTCAACCTCACATATTATCAGAGAAATGCAAATCAAAGGCATAATGAGACATTGCCTCACATCTATCAGGATGGTCACTATGAAAAAAAGACAACACAGAAACAGAAGCTACCAAGCGTTAGCAAGGATGTAGAGAAATCAGAATTCTTGTGTACTGTTGGTAGGAATGAAATAGGGTACAGCTACCATGGAAACCAGTTTGACAGGTCCTCAAAAATGGGCAAAAGAGGGGCATCTGGGTGGATCAGTTGTTAAGCGTCTGCCTTCGGCTCAGGTCATGATCCCAGGGTCCTGGGATCGAGCCCCGCATCGGGCTCCCTGCTCTGCGGGAAGCCTGCTTCTCCCTCTCCCACTCCCCCGCTTGTGTTTCCTCTCTCGCTGTCTCTCTCTCTGTCAAATAAATAAATAAAAATCTTTAAAAAAAAAAAAAAAAAAAGGAAAGAAGCCAGACAAAAAAGGACAAATATTATATGATTCTACTTGAAAGAAATAACTGGAATGGACGAATTCATAGAGATAGAAAGTAGATTAGAGGTTACCAGGTACTGGGGGCGGGGGGAGAGTGGAGAATTATTTCAAAACAGTAACAGAATTTATGTCTGGAATCATGAAAAAGTATTGGAAATAGTGGGGATGGGTCACGACATTGTGAATATAAACATCCCTGAGTTGTACCCTTAAAAATGGCTAAAATGGCAAATATTATGTTACATACATTTTACCACAATTTTTAAATTAAATTTTAAATTAAATTCCAAAGGCCATTGAATTGTAAACTTTAAATGAATGGAATGTATGGTGTGTAAACTGTATCCTAATAAAGCTGTTTAGAAAGAAAGGTATGGTCCTCTAAGAAAACTTGCATTCCACATTCCATTCCTCCCCTCCACTACAGGCTTACTCCTATCACAGCAAAACTCCCCACCCTGAGCCTTAGCAGCTGGCTTGTCTCTCTCCCCGACCAGAACTACAGTTTTTTCAAAGCAAAAACCAAGGCTGTTTGTCAGATTCGTAAATTATTAAATGGTTTAAATGGCAGAGTTGATCCAAGATTTGTGGTCTAAGTTGTCTTTTCAGTGCCAGGGATGAATCTGTGTCATCCATATCAGTCTCTTGGCTTTATGATGGTAGATTTTAACAAATCAAAGAAAATGTGCCCTCTTTGATTATTGCCTATTCCCTCAAAAAAAATCCCTCGTACCGTCGTCTAAGCTGAAAAATTATATATTACATTATAATTCTATTCGATTATATAACGTGAGTTTGTGCTCTTCATTAATTAAAATAATTCACAGGGAAATCTGGTACAAAGGTGACCACAGGCATATGGGGTCTCATAGTCAAGGTACTGGAAAAAAAATGATCAAACAATGCACCCCTGAATCTACTTTTAATCACAAACTATTTCCTGGTATATATGTGCTTCTTTACATAAAATCAAATTCTAACAATAAGAACTATTTAACTACATTTTCAGATTCAAAATATTGCTACAGACTCACCTCATACACAGCAAGATCTATACCTGCATAAGGTATGATGCCTAATAAATTGGGAACATAACCTTTGTAAAAAGCTCCCATGCCTTCATGTTTCAAAATCTTCTTGGCACAATCGAATATTCCAGAATATTGTCCAGTTTTGCCTACAGCCAGCCTGGTTTTCATAACCTAGTTATAAAAGAATGTAACAGATTATCATTTATATGAATTCTGTCATCATGGAATTCAAAGGAAGTAATTTTACAGAGAACAAATACCTAGCACATATTGTCTCTCAAATGACTGCCCAACCTGTTGATGTGTTATCCCTCACATATAACGTCTACTGAAGGGCTAACACCAGAGCCAAGAAGACCTATTTATTGTAAAGAGGATCTGAATGAGGGCAGAGGAAATAGAAAATAATTCACAGATGTCTTAAAATTGACTTGTGACCAATTAGATACGGAAGGTGAGGGAAATGGTAGCGTAGAGGGTGACCCCAGTGTTTCTAGCTTGGAACACAGGAGGGGGACAGCAGGGTGGTGGGAAGGTTATGCTATTAACTGAGAGGGAGGATATCTGAGGAAGACTATGTATTCAGTTAGGATATTTTTTGAAGGGTGTGAGGACTATGAACAACCATATTAAGATACTTGTAAGGAAAGCTACATTAATATGCATACCACAAAGGTGAAGATTAAGGGTATATTTTGCTTAAATCTTACTAGTTGTTGAAAAACCCTTTGTCATATCAATAAAGATAGCCACATCTACAATATTATTTTTGCTCTAAAGCAAGAGTTGACAAGCTTTTCCTGCAAAGGCAACATAGTAAATATTTCAGTCTTTGCAGGCCTAAAACTTCAGGTCTGTTGCATATTTTTAAAATCCTTTTAACCAACTTTTTAAAATGTATAAAGCCATTCTTAGCTCAAGGGCTGTAGGAAGTACTCCCCAGTCTCACGGTTTGCCAACCGTCTAACGGTAGGATGTCTAGTGAGCACTGCCATCACCTCATCAAATCTACTATTAAACTTATGGTGCAGAAACTCTTTGGAGAAGAATGGGTGCCGTCATTCTTATCAACATTGTGGCAGCCAGCCTCTAAGAGGGCCCCCAGCTACCCCTGCCGCCTGGTGTTCATACCGTTGCGTGGTCCCCTCCCACACTCTCCCGGGGGTGGTCTGTGCGACCAAGAGAAGAGAGCAGAAATGACAAAAGATTGCAGCTTCCATCTTGAGTGCTGGCTAACAATTCTCTCTCTCTCTCTCTCTCTCTCTCATATTACCGACTTGGGAAAAACAGCTATCGTGTTGTGGGGGTACTCAAAACAGCCAATGGAGAGACCCCTGAGATAAGGAACTGACACCTCCAGCTGTAATAGCCAAGGAGGCTCAGCAACAAACACGTGAGAGAGCTTGCAAGCAGACCCGTCCCCAGTTGAACCTTGCAGTGACTGCAGCCCTGACCCACACCTTGACTCCAGGCTCAGAGGAACCCTGAGCCGGGGCACCCCGCTAAGCTACTCCCAGATTCCTGACCCACAGAAACCGTGAGATAATAAATGCCTGTGTTAAACTGCTAGTTTGGGGATAACCTGTTGCCCAGTGATCGATAATGAAACGAACACCACCAACACAGTCAGACTTCGCAATGGTACTTACCTCCATGGGATAAATAATAGTCTGTGCAGTTGCTCCGGCCAGGGAACCAGAGATAAACCTCTCAAAGGTTCCTACTTTTTGTCCTTCCTCAGTAAGCAACTTCTTGTACTGTATAAATACATTTAAAAATGTAAATTAGTACCTGCTATAGACTGAGTCACGTCTCCCCCTCCCAACAAATTCTTAGGTTGAAGCTGTAACCCCCCATTGTGATGATATTTGGAGATGGGGCCTCTAGGAGATAATCAGAGTTAGATGAGGTCATGAGGGTGGGGCCCTCGAAAGGCTTAGTGTCCTTAAAAGAGACACCAGAGAGTTTTCTCTTCCCCGCTCCCTCCCCCTCTTTCTCTTTCTATACACACATGTACGAAAGAAAGGCCATATGAGGGCACCTGGGTGGCTCAGTTGGTTAAGCGACTGCCTTCGGCTCAGGTCATGATCCTGGAGTCCCGGGATCGAGTCCCGCATAGGGCTCCCTGCTCAGCAGGGAGTCTGCTTCTCCCTCTGACCCTCCCCCCTCTCATGTACTCTCTCTCTCTCTCATTCTCACTCTCTCAAAATAAATAATAAATAAATCTTTGAAAAAAAAAAAAAAAGAAAGGCCATATGAGCATACAGCAAGAGGGTAGCCATGTGCAAACTGGGAAGAGAGCCCTCCCCAGGAGCCAAATTGGTCAGCACCTTGGTCTTGGATGCCCCACCTCCAGGACTGTGAGAGAGTAATTTCTGTTGCTTAAACAACTAATAAGGTATTTTGTTATGGCAGTCCCAGCTAAATAAATACCAAAATACAAATCAACTCCTCGTAATCAATTAATTGACAATATGATGATGTTTTTCCAAATGCATACACTGCATTAACAATACCCAGAAGAAAAGCAAAGCTCGGATGCTAAAACATTCGGTTTACTGGACAGTGGTTGTTAAGTTAGATTTCCCCAGAACACAGATGTTCCACAGATGGGACCAGTCACTCCTATGCTAAAACACAATAATAGCATTCTTTCCCAGAAAATATAGGGTTGATAAAGTGTTCACAATTTTTGTATGTTTTCCTCATAGTTTTTCTTTCTTTTTTTTTAAGATTTATTCATCTGACAGAGATGGAGAGATCAAGAGAGAGAGAGAGAGAGAGAGCACAAGTGGGGAAGCGGCAGGCAGAGGGAGAAGCAGACTCCCCGCTGAGCAGGGAGCCCGATGTGGGGCTCAATCTCAGGACCCTGGGATCATGACCTGAGTCGAAGGCAGACGCTTAACTGACTGAGCCACTCAGGTGCCCCTAGCTTTTCTTTTTTTAAGGCGAGTTTATTTTCATCAGTATAAATAAGTGACAAATAGTAACAAAACAACTGAGAAAGACATTTCTGTGGGTAACACCTATAATTACACTACCACGTCAACCCCAGAGTAAACGTTATTACTCTTACCATTCTCTTCCTACAACTTGGAAAAAAAGGCTCTGCCCAAACACAGACTGGTCGCAAACCAGGTTCCTTGTTTTAGAGAGGTGAGGTGAGTCTACAGAGGTAATTAAGCACTGACCCAGGAGGGAGAAGTGGATAAATCAAAAGAGAGAAGCGGGAGGCTAACGGAGCTCCCAAAGCCACCCTAAAATCTTTTTGTCTGTCCTTTTCTTTTCCATTTGTTACAACACCTATTTAAATGTTTCCATTCTCTCCCAGCCTCCAATACCACTTCCTCCCTTATTCTCAGGAAATGTCCTTTCTTGGGAACTCAAGGAAGAACAGAGGCCACCAAGCAAGAACATTCCTGCCCACCCTCCACAGAATGATCCACAGCCACATACATTTTCTTTCTTCCCAAGGTGACAGAAGAAGAGTTCTCCGTGCCACCAAAGCCAATCCTTCCCAGGGCCTTGGATGGCACCCATGTCTCCCCAGCCCTTCCATCCCCACACATGCTTCCTGTGAACACTTGCTGCATTCACCGGCCTCCCCCTTCTATACTTTTAACATGCTTTCTTCAGCCACGGGCACATTAAAATAAAACTTATCAAAACCCTCCCTCTGCCCACCATCTTTCTTATCTATCACTTTCCCTCATTTCTTTTCCTTCCCTTCACTCAACTCAAACTCCCCAAAAATGTGTCTACACTGTGCAATCTTCGTCAGCCCCTGGTTTACTTTCACTCATTCCAGAATGGTTTCTCATCGCTTCACTTCCCTGGGGCCTCTATACCAAGCTCTCCTATCTCTGGATCGACAAATCCTTTTTCATCCTCTTACTTCTAGGGCACCAGTCTCGGCATTTCCTCCACCCCTCTGGCTATTCCTTCTCAATCCCCTCTACAAGGGGCTCCTTCTTCTTCTCCTGGGGCATATTCCCAGAATTCTTCCATTCTACAAGTCTTCCTCAGTGATCCATTCCAATGGCTTCAACTCAAAAGCCACCTGTCCATCAGAGATCAGAAGTCCTACTGGACAGCTACCTATTCATGTTGCAGAGATGCCTCAAACTCAGCATGTCCAAAATGGAACCCGTCATTGTACCCCAAAATCTATTCCCCTGTATTCTCCATGTACGTAGTTGCCCAAAGTAGGCCCCAGAGTATCATCCTTGATTCCTCTTTCTTTCTCACTTCCATATCCACTCAGTCAGTGAGTCCTGTTGATTCTATTTCCAAAATATTTTTCAGTTCATTTCCTTCTTCTTCAGTTTCTCCAGCCACCACCTTATCCTGGTGCTCATCATTTCTTACCTGGCTGATAGGAATATCCTTAAATAGTCTCCCTGCCTCCAGTCTGGCCTCACTCTCCTCTAATACATCCTCCATTTTTTTCCATGTCGATCTTTCTTAAATGTAAATATACTCATTTCACTTCTCTATAGAAGATGCTTCAATAGGTCGCTCACCCTCTTCAGGATAAAATCAAGACTCCTATTATACTTGGCTTCTGCCTACCTGTCCAGCCTGCTTTTGTCATTCTCTTCCCAGAAACACACTCCGCTACACACTGGAGCCAAATGAACCACCTTCAATTTCCTTAGTGAACAATGCTCCCCTGTGCCTGCATTTCTGTCCACATGCCACTGCTTCTGCTCGAAATACACATCTTTCCCTTCACCTTAGTGGACCTGAGATTCAGGCGGGCTTGGGCTCAAACTCCAGCTCGGGGACTTCTGTGTTTTCAGTCCTTCAGTAAGGACTCGCTGGCACTGGGCAAAGTCGGGGAATACAAACCTGAAAACCAGTATTGCCTTAAGGAAGCTCACAGTTTTATTAAGGAGAGAGATAAATACTGAGATAATCATAATTTAATGTGAAAGTGCTATAACAGAGGAAGACAAAAAGAACTGTGACAATGAAGAAGGTTTCCTGGAGGAAGTAACTCCTGAGTCAAGTCTTGCAGGATGTTCACTACTATCTGACATTCATTCAACAAACACTTACTGAGCACTTATCACATGCCAGGCTCCAAGCGCTGGAGTCCATGGAGAAGCAGGCAAGCCCCTGCCTTCAAGGAGCTTTCACTCTAAATTCAATTCAACTTCATGGCAATGTCATATTACACATAGGAATTCAACTTAAAAGTTTTCCTTCCAGATGTCTGACTGGGATGCTTTCATAAAACTTAGGTTAACATGCAGCTTCTACTCTGAATTCAAAATGAATAAGCAAAAATGCTCTATTTCCTTTAAGAGCTACTACGAAAAGAATACAGAAGTCTTTTTTAAAGTAAATAAAATGAACTTAAGAATTCTAAAGTTTGGTCATAAAGAATCTGAGTTCATGTAGTTCTAATCTCCTGGAAGAGAAATTCCTCCTGGAGTACACATGGAAAATTATTATAGAGTGAAACAAGAACCCAAAAAGCACTATATGTTCATTGCTATTGAATCAGTTTATTAACTATTAACTCCTCTTTGTGAATAAATTCCACAGGTGACAACAATTACCTGTTCATATGCCCAGAACTTAACAGCTGTCTCAGGAGCAATTTTAATGACATTTGTGCCATTTCCTCTCCAAAGGGAGCGGACACCTCCTTCTCTCACCATCTGTCGAAAGCCATTGTATATGTTCATTTTGCCTGATTTTGAACCATGGACCTAAAAATAAAAGCAAAAGGATACAAAACATTGGTGGCATGTTACTGTTACTATTTCTAAAGTAACTGTACAAACCACCCTCTATTTCAATACTATTTATTACTGCAAGAAGATGTATTTAAAAACAGAATATAGAAAGTTTGGATAATGTATAATGCTAGGAAGAATTACTACCAGCATTTTAGAGGCCTGACTCTAAATCTAAAACTAAGAAAAATCAGTATCCTCAGTGTGGGAAAGCACAGAGGACGTGATCTAAATTAAAATTATTATGAACAACATTCATAAGATAACATGAACCAAATTATATATTAGGCTATGGAACACCCCTTGGAATGCAAACAAGTTCAGTTTAAGAAAACTTTTAAAAATATACTGCAGGTAATATACTATCTCTCCCCCCACCAGAAGTAATACCAATATGAAATATAAATGGGTCTGAAAACAATTTTGTATTATGTATATCAGAGCCACAGATGCTGGAATGGACATAGCCTGGCACCAAAAATAAAAATTATACCTTCTATGGCTTATCTCAAAGCCTCTCTAGGCAATAAATTCATGGCAACATGAATGCCTCACCCTGTGAATACTTGGTTTAGACTACAGATGTGATCACTGTTTAAAAAACACTAGACCTTATAACTGCCTCCATGTAAAAACAATTAAATCCAATAAGCCAAAAACACATAAAGAAATCAGCTCTCTTCTGACTGTTTTGGCTCACACAAAATGAGTGACTACTGTAAAAAAATAGAAAAACAAGATGTGAGGGGCTGAAGACTAAAAGTCAGTCACGTGGGCAATGTGTGGTTGATCCGCAATAAAGACTCTGGAGGGATGCCTGGATGGCTCAGTCGTTAAGCGTCTGCCTTCAGCTCAGGTCATGATCCCAGGGTCCTGGGATCGAGTCCTGCATCGGGCTCCCTGCTCAGTGGGGAGCCTGCATCTCCCTCTCCTTTCTGTTCATGCTCTATCTCTGTCGCTATCTCTATCTCTCTCAAATAAATAAAATTTTCAAAAAAAATAAAATAAGTATGTAGCTAAAACCTGAGAATTAAAAAAAAAAAAAAAAAGACTCTGGACATCAAAGACATGGGTGAACTTTCTTGGTCGGTTTGCAACACTGTGCATACACTGTCACACCTCAGTGTCAAGAAAGTAACACATCATGACTTCTACTGAGAGAAGACAATAAAAGCTCTGCATTTGGCACTGTCCCAGACTTGTCCCGATATGCTTCTTTCTTTTGCTGATTTTAATCTGTAACTTTGCCTTGTCATAAAACACAACCGGGAGTACAAAAGCTTCTAGTGTGTTCTGTGAGCCCTACTGAATTACTGAACCTGAAGGTAGTTTTGAAAAACCCCACCCACTCACCCCACGGAACTTGCAAGAAATAAAGTCCGGAGATATCTGTTTTATTTTAAATAAACGTCACAATAAAATACAACAAAGAAAAAGAGGAATGCTTATACAAGCTCTCTCAAAGTCAATGTGCTATCATTCCTAAAGAAAAACACAAGCGCCAATTCCTTCTCCTTTTTCTTTAAAGCACTATTTTTACCCCTAAATATATTTTGAGATTTAGGCACATTCTGAATGGATGCTCACTTAAAATATCGTCAGAAATCTTTTTATACATAAATCTAAGGACACGTATTAAAAGTGTTGACCATAGGTGTGACAACACAACTTCTAAAACTATTTTTTAAGCAACTACTACATTCCAGTGGGGTGTTCCAGTGTATCCAGCATTTTTACATACCTTACATCATTTAATTCTTCCAACCAGCCTTGTTAGATATTCTTAATCCCACTGCAGGATGAAGGAAAATGAGACCTTGGGGGTTTCACGCAGTGTGAGAACCACAAGGTCTAGAGTCAAAGATACTCCCTTCCTCATCTAATTGTTGTAAAGGAAAAGTTGTTTACTTCTCTGAGCCTCAGGTTCTCCACAGATAATGTGAGGATGAAATACTCACCTCACTGGGTTGCTAAATGGGTTACCATAATGAGCACCAAGTAAATATCAATTCCTTTCCTTTCTCTCTTTCTTTCCACTCTGAGCAGCCAAGACCACATCTTACTAGTAAATAGCAAAGTCAGTCTATAAATCCAGGTCTTTTCCGCTAACCTCATCTTTAGAATGTTTTTAAAAATTATATTCTTGTTCCAAGATTCTAAACTTTGGAAATATCTCACTTTTGAGAAAATACATAAAACAGAAGGAAAATGTTATCTCCTAAAATAATGGCTAGAGACCTTTTATTTATTATTAAAATATAATGTATTATTTGTTTCAGGCGTACAGGCCTGTGATTCATCAGTCGTATATAATACCCAATGCTCATTACAACACATACCCTCCCCAATGTCCATCACCCAGCCACCTCATCCCTTCCACCCCCCTCCCCTCCAGCAACCCTCAATTTGTTTCCTGAGATTAAGAGTCTCCTAGGGTTTGTCTCCCTCTCTGGTTTTGTCTTGTTTCATTTTTCCCTCCCTTCCCCTATGATCCTCTGCCTTGTTTCTCAAATTCCTCATATCAGTGAGGTCATATGATACTTATCTTTCTTTGACTGACTTATTTCACTTAGCATAATACCCTCTAGTTCCATCCACGTCGTTGCAAATGGCAAGATTTCATTTTTTGATGGCTGCATAATATTCCATTGTATGTATATACCACATGTTCTTTATCCATACAGACTTTTTTTTTAATAAACATTTGAAAAGTCATGGAATGCCAAAGATTAAAAGTCCATCACACACATGGACCCATAATTTAAGGTTTGGTGAAATACTCATAGGGACTGAATTCAGGATTAGTAACAATAGAGATTTCATACCTATCTTTTAAATGTAGAAAGGAAGATTATGGAGAAATTTTAAAACTTCTTTCTCAAAACGGCACATTTCTCATCGTTTTAGCATATGTGGGAGACGCTGAGACACAAGATCACAAGGCTCACCTGCATCATGACTTTCAGACGGTCCAAAGGGGCCGTGCTTGTCCGAGAGACAGCGCCCGCGATACCTCCTGCCAAGAGCTGCCTCCACCACTGCCCAGACTTCTTCTCATCTTCTGTGAATTCGTCTGGAATAGTTAAACTATCTCCAATGTCAATACCCTGTTAAGATGGAAAAAAGATCCCCATGCTCCCTCCGTTAAAAATAGATAACTCCAGAAGGTTTGCTGTAGAGAAGAATCATGTGTTATTTTACGGTGAAGATCACCTTCATTCCTTAGAAAGTATACTACACCAATCTGAGCATACAGATGATTTTAAATAGCCTCCTCACACTAAATGAAGTGCAGGATCAGTTCACAAGAAATGAAAGTTGACCGTAATTACAAAGTTACAAAACCAACAACTACAACTTTCTTTCTTAAATAGATTCAGAGTAACTTTTCTCCTCTTGGTCTAAGTCAGAATGAAAGGTCAGTGGTTTATCAGGTGGGAATCCTTCTTAGCTACAGAAAGAAATTAGTTTGTCAATTCTTCAAAGATACTCCCTTTATCTCAAAATTCTATCCATGTTATTCTTTATACCATGATACATGCTTTACTTAGACCTGTAAATAAAAATTAAATTAAAGCTACATATGTGAACACCCCAAAACTCATCTCCTATGTAGACTGCCTATAAATATTTTTATAGACTTGTCATTTAAAACATGCAACAGGTTCTTGGGGCGCCTGGGTGGCTCAGTCGTTAAGCGTCTGCCTTCGGCTCAGGTCATGATCCCAGGGTCCTGGGATCGAGCCCCGCATCGGGCTCCCTGCTCAGCAGAAAGCCTGCTTCTCCCTCTCCCACTCCCCCTGCTTGTGTTCCCTCTCTTGCTGTCTCTCTCTGTCAAATAAATAAATAAACATCTTTAAAAAAAAAAAATTTAAAAATAATCCTTCCTCAATCTATTCAATAAGCATTACCATAGATTACAAATATAACTTGAGATAAACGGAGTTCTAAAATGACAGTATTTTTACAAGTTTATTATCTAAATGATTCTGCTGTAAAAGATTTTATAGGTAGGAGTGTAGGGGTAAGAGGCTATATGCTATAGTAGTAACCTCCTCTTTCTTCACTTTACTATCAATAAAATGAATACACGATTGTTAACTACTATCTCCAAAGGTACACCAAGAGTCTGATTATGTAAATATAAATTCACATAAGTAGAAAATGTATCTAGGCAACTGAACATATAGTATATTATTCTATACTCATAGAAGAGGCATTCATCACCATAATTTTACAATGATCTATTTAAGTTTAGGCATTGTTACTATGGGCCATGTGAACTCTAGGCTTCATTTATTATGTATAAAACTTATTGAAATCCATGAATAAGCATAGCAGACAAGCCCACTAGGAAAATTAAAATTCCCTCCAAGAATTCCCACTGGTTTCAGGAGCAGATTGCACAATAAACTGACCTTTAGTTATACCAATATATGTTAGCAGAATATTAATGAAATTTCATTAAAATTTGAAAGTTTTGAGAAATACAGACAGGTGTGAACTGTTAAACAAAAGAGCCAAACGTGTTTTAACCTTCAATTATTGTTATTATAAGTACCTTATCCCAGAGATAAATCTATACAGGTGACAAAACAAGCAAAAGTTTCAGAAGTCATGTCTGGCCCATCATTCATGGCCAAGGAAATAGAATCTCAGCAATCATGAGGTTCTGAGATTATTTAAACAATGTATATCTATAAAAAGTAAAAACCTCTGACTTTCACACTTCTCTTGGCAAAATACTTAAATGCAATAAAAGCTGGGCCGCTCATCTTCATAAGATTTTTGGAAGGCAGTATCTCCTCCAAGTATTGAGAATGGCAAAAACGGGTACCACATCTACAATGTTTATGCAGCCTCAGGGGTTTTTTTTATGATATTCTGAATATATACCTAATAGAATAAGCAGAACTCTACAAGTTAGGGAGCTACTGGGAATTGGGCACCCTGGCCTGTAAGCATTACAGAGTGTTCTCATGTAATAAATAACTATGGCTTACAAATAAGTATAATGTAATACACACAGCATACTTACAGTAGAATGTTTCCAGAAACGGATAATTTCCTCAATGTCTGTAACAGGATTAAATAAGAAATAGTCCCTCCATTCATTCCAGTCTACTGTCATTGTCCCATCAGCATCAATACTGAAAATAAAAAGAAGCTACTTAAAAAACAAAATAAAATTTGTAAGTAAAACATTATTGGCCGTTTTGCAGAATGCTAGTTTCTTCTCCAACTCAATATTCTTATGAAAAGATCCCAATTCACAGTAATAGGTTATTGGAAATGGCAGCAAGCTTTTGATGTTCTATTAGTTTTAATCATTTAGGTGAAGAAGGACCCCAAAGTCACAGAGAGATCTCACTAAAGACTACTTTTGGCACTGTGTCAAACTCTAATCAATGAGCTATCAAACACTAAAGCTGGAAGCTTAAATGCTGGTAGGTAGTAATGAATGGATTTATGACCCATTTTTTCTTGGATTGGCTCAGGAAGATATTTCTTAATGTTCTAACATTTGGATGTGATTTTGGAACATACTCAAAATATTCTATCAATTTCCTTCTCCAACCTCCTCAAAGCTAAGAAAATTAGCAGTAATTGTAAAAAAAAAAAAAAAAAAAAAAATCTAACTTGGTGACTGGGCCTTTTGAGTCTTAAGAAATCCTGGTACCTCATCTTCACATTTAACATTAATGTACTCTAGCCTTAGATATTTTTCATTAACTTTTTGCCTGATTTACAAGTTTCTTGGCAGTGTGCTATTTGACCAGTTTTTTCCCAAGATCAACTCTGAACTCTGCTGGGATTTTGATTGTTTTGTTCACTATCTATACCCAGGATCTAAAGTGGCTGGCGCAAAGAAGGGTGTTCACTTATTTGTTGAATTAATGACTGTCCCTGAAAAAAAAGTCTGGATGTCTCCTTCAAACCTTATATTTATCAATAATTCGTATGAAAATGATACATTAAGATGGCATTCAAATCAAATGCAATTTTCAGGTATTAATATTATGTTTTCTGGTGCCAATTTTAATTTTGATCTGCATATTTGTGAAATTACACAAACATTAATTTGTCTTAGCACATGGGTATTAACATCTCACATGAGAGCCCTAGTTACAACATTATTCTGGGTTGCAATATTTAGAGCTCTATTTTTATCACTGTTTTCTATTTTAATGCAATTGTTTATCATCTGACCCTACCCCTCAATCTCCCATATATGCATTCATGAGCATCTTCCACAGGGCAAGGATTTTTGTTGATTTTGATCACTGAGATGACCCAAGTGTTTAGAACAGTGCCTGGCAGGGAGAATATTTACTGAATGAATAAATGAATTCTAAATTCCATAGCTTAAAGCCACAGAACACTCACAAACTTCTTAAATAAAATAGTCTGCGGGTTTAAATTGCATTTCTCTTCAAATCACCAATGAGGTTTGACATCCCTTATCATATTCACTTGCTATTCATGTTTCCCCTTGTGTGAAATGCCTATTTGTGTCTTTTGCCCATATTTTTAATGGGTTGGGTATCTATTCTTTTCTATGTACAGTTCTTTATATAGTTGATTCTAGTACTTCAAGTTATAAATTAGCAAATACCTTCTCTTTGTCTTTTCACCTTGTTTACGCTATCTGTGAATAGACTCTCTTCATTTTAATACAGCCGGATGTGTCGATCTTTTATGTTACTGCCTTTCATGTCTTTTTTTTTTTTTTTCCAAATATTTCCTTCCCTACACTGAGGTAAAGACATTTCCTTTTCTTCCCCTACAAGTATTATAGTTTAACTTTCACATTTAGGTTGATTTTTATGTATGGTGTAAGGTAGGTACCCAGTTTCATTGCTGTCTGCACGGATAACCAGAGGTACTAGCACCATGTACTGCAGAGTCTCTCCTTTTCTGCAAAGTGATCTGCAAAGCTACTTCTCTTGTGTGACAAACCCCAAATATGGATGGGTCTGTTTCTGGGATATTATGTTCCATTTGTCGACTTATCTATATATGTACCACTACCCCATCTTAATTATGGCTTAATAACAACTCTCGATAAATGATAGAGCAGGTCCCCTGCTTCCCATGGCTCTTCAAGAATGTCTAGGTTATTCTTGGGCTCTTTGATATTAATTTGAGACTCAGCTTAACAAGTTTCTCAAAATAAAAAAAACTACTTTTTTTTTCAATGCCATTGAATCATTATCAATTTGGAGGAAAGGTACATCTTTTCTGTACTTTGTAATCTAACAAAATGTTTTAAGTTGCCCTTTTAAAAGTACTGATTGTGGTATATTATGCTTTCTATATACAGCTAATGTTTCTTAAATAATTCTATTTATTTATTTGACAGAGAGAGACCCAGCGAGAGAGGGAACACAAGCAGGGAGAGTGGGAGAGGGAGAAGCAGGCTTCCCACAGAGCAGGGAGCCCGATGTGGGGCTCGATCCCAGCACCCTGGGATCATGACCTGAGCGAAAGGCAGACGCTTAATGACTGAGCCACCCAGGTACCCCTATATACAGCTAACTTCTTTTTCTATAGAGCTAACAGATCATTAATATTTTCTCTAAAATATTTACATCTAGGGGCACCTGAGTAGCTAAGTTGTTTGGGCATCAGACTCTTGGTTTCGGCTCAGGTCTCTCATAGGTTATGAGATAGAGCTTAGCATCGGGCTCTGCACTCAGAGGACTCTCTCCCTATTCCTCCCCCCACTCACATACTCTCTCTCTCTCTCAAATAAATAAATAAATCTGTAAAATGTATATATATATATATAAAAAGTAACATATATATCTCTATGTCATAAATGATGTCGGCCTATAATTTCCTTCTCTCACTAGTTGTCCGCCTTTGCTGTTATGCTTAGCACGGCCTCACAGCATGGATCGGATAGTGCACTTCTACACTCTCCACATATTTGTAGACCTGTTCTTTAATAGTTTGTAAGAACCATCTGGGGCTAAAGTTTTCTTCATGGGAAAATTTTTAATTACTGATGCGATGTGTTTGTTTAGGTACTATTGGCTATTTCTTCTTGATTTAGTTTTGGTAAATTATATCTGTCTGGAAATTCTTCTATTTCATGTTTTCAAATTTATTGGCATAAAATTATTTGTGACATTATCTTTGAAAAATTTCTGATGTGTCTTTGCAATCATTTATTATTTCCATTTATTATTATTTATTTCCATCTCATTTCTTTTTTTTTTAAGATTTATAAAATTTATTTATTTGACAGAGAGAGACACAGCGAGAGAGGGAACACAAGTAGGGGGAGTGGGAGAGGGAGAAGCAGGCTCCCCGCCGAGCAGGGAGCCCGATGCGGGGCTCGATCCCAGGACCCTGGGATCATGACCTGAGCCGAAGGCAGACTGAGCCACCCAGGCGTCCCCTCATTTCTCTTTTTTCTTCATCAGTCTCTCCAGAAGTTTGTCTTTTCCAATAACCGATGTTTGATTTTGTTGATCCTATTACCGCATCTCTGCGTTCTATTTCCACTCCGCTTCCTTAATTACCTCCTTCTTTCTACCGTCTTTGAAATTATTCTGATTTCTCCCTTTAAATTAGCACATTAGTGCTCAGCCTTAATTCCTTTCTTTTCTTTTTAATTTACTTCTGTTTACTTCCCTTTAGGTGTCAGACCAAGTAAAAGATGGAGGAATGGAGAGAGGAACACAGCTGGCCTGGGATGGGAGTCGCATGGAAGTGGGGGAGGGACCCTGTTCACATCACATCCACAAAGAACTCACTGGGTGTCCCCATGACCATGTGGAAGGACTGTCTGCTGGAGGTCAGGCTGGGGGCATGTAGGCCAGGTCTCATCCTGGAGGGGCTCCTGGGGGCCCCATGGCCACAGGTGGTGGAGGCACCACCAGCATGGGGGGACCACAGAAAGAAGGCGCACCGCGGGGGCTGTAGCTCAGATGGATGCGGGGGCTGCAAAGGTTGCTGGTCATTGAGCGGTGGCTGCGGTGGCTATGCTCGCTGGGCACTGGCTCCCATAGCCCCACAGGCTACTGCGGGTTGTGTGGTCCCACTCATTGCTGTTGCCACTCAACTTCAAGTCCCTGGCCTTCAGGTCCTTCCCCTTCTGCCGGTCACTGCCACTACAGATGGAGCCTCTGCTCCAGCTGCCTTCACTGTACTGACTGCAGCCACTGCCCCCGCCATAGCTGTACCGCAGCTCTGGGAAGCCCAGGTGCAGGTTGTAGGGGTGTGGGGGCAGCAAGTACTGGTAAGGGAAAGCCTTGGACCAAGGGGTGGCCCCCGGGTGTGGCAAAGGGGCCAGTGTGTCCTGGTAGAGGTGCCATGGAAGCCATCATGATCATGGAGGGACACGTTAGCCATGTTGCCACAAAGGTCGCTGAAGATGTAGAAGCACTGCTCAGAGAAGGTGACCTTCTTGATAGTGGATGAAGCTGCTTCCAGAAGGCTGCTAGCATACCTGCTGGCCTCCTGCCAATCAGTGAAGCCTTCCACATTGTGGTACAGCAAGTCCACCACATCCAAGCCAACGAAAACACTGGGGATGGTAATCTTGAGTCACATGCGGCCACCAACCTCCAGCACAGATTCAGAGGAGGCCATGGCTTTGACGGTGGTGGCCACGTCAGTGTGGAAGGACAGATATAAGTCATCCAGGCACTCTGTGTCATGGATGGAGCTGGTGATGGAAGAGCCAGTGGAGGTGATGGTGCTCAGGACAGAGCTCATGCCATAGGCTGCAGGGTGGGTGACCCAGGATTCAGGGTCAGTAGGCCAGAAGGGCTCACTCCTGGACAGTGTAAAACAGCCAGGTGGACTTGGGTCCCAGCCCCCTGGCTGCAGTCAGGGTGATGACCCCAGTCTGTGCACAGTCTCACGCAAAACCCGTACCGCACCGTCATTACTCATGTTCTCACAGCTCACCTAGCTTGCCTGTAACAGTGCATCTTCTAGATCTACGCCTCCATTAGCAGTCATGGCCCCAGCCTTCATGATAGAGACAATGTAGATGCCTCCATCACCATGCTCTTTGCCTTGGCCCACAGTGAGACGCGCAGAAAGTTGTACTTTTCCATGAGAGTGACCATGATGATGTTGAGTGACATGGTGGAGTCCATGGTGCTGTTGAAGGACCAGGACCACTAAGGCT